GGGGGGCGGGGCGGGGGAGGCGGCGGGCCATGTCGATCTCGGTGGAGAGGAGGGCGAGGTAGGTGCAGCCGGCAAGAGATCCGAGCCCAAAGGCAGCTGCGCCGTCTGAGCCGAGGGCGGCGTAGCACACCTTTGCGCGTGCAAGGGAAGGGGCTGCGGGGTGAGGGTCCGAGGGAGAGGCGGCTGCAGCTGGTGTGGCGCGTGCACCGCGGCGCCCGCGGCGCCGACGAGCGCCGCCTCTATGAGGATTTCCGCCTGCGGCGAGGGGCGGGCGGGGCGAGAGGGCAAGCAGGGTGAGGGGCGGGAGGGGTGAGGGGCGGGAGGGGTGAGGGGCGGAGGAGGCTGCGTCGCCTTTAGCTTCGCGTACTCCTCGAGGCCGAGCTGCGTGGTCGCCTAGAGGGGGTATAGAGGGGGTATGGCTCGGCCTCGGCCCCGAGGCGGAGCTGCTCGAGGCCGAGCGGCGCGGCTCTCCTCATTCGGGGCAGGGCGCGGCACGATGGGCTGCAGCTGCCTCTCGTCGACTCGGTAGCCGTCCACCTGGCGACGGAAAAGACGGGGTGAGAGGACCAGGCCGCAGCTCGGAGGGAGGGCCGCCGAAGTCGTCCCGCCTCTCGGACGTACTCCGAGTCGAGCCGGCCGAGCTTTGCGATGTCTGCCCGCACCGCCGCCGGCTTGCGGCCGGACAGGCGGTAGAGACCGTCGCCGATGCTCTTGAGCGGCAGCAGGTCCACCTGCAGGGCGGGGAAGGGAGACGGCTGGAGCAGCGGCGACGGGCGGACTCGCGCAGTGCGGCCGCGCGCCTCGACGGTGGAGCGCGAGCCAACCGCCTGGACGAAGTCAACCTGCGCGACCTCCCACTCGCCAGGCCACTTGGAGGGCATCTTGACTACGTCGCCCACCTGCACGAGGCGACACGCTCAGCAGTCGGGCCAAGCGGCCAGGAGCCACGCGCTGCCTCCCGTGCCTGTGGCACGACAAAGCCTCGTGCGTCCACCTCGGTCGAGCGCTCGCGCGGCGGCGTGGTTGGCGGCGAATCGCAGCAGGAGATGCACGGTGCCAGCGGCCGCGCACTCCTCGACGCGAGCCTCGGCTGGAACGCGACCGGCGTCAGCGCGATCGCTGCTAGGATCATCGCTCGGAGGAGCAGCACCGCCCCAGCAGCACCGCCCCGCGCGAGCAATGAATAAAAAGAATAACGCGGCACTATGGCCAGGACGGTGGGCACCAGCGCCGGCATCATCCGTAGAGGCACGAGTGTTCGAAGAGAGAGTGGACCTGAGCAACAACATGACCTGGAGGCAAATGATCGGAGTGGGAGTCAGAAATGTGGTCCTTGCGCGAGGGGAGCTCGATAGACTCGAGGGGCCAGGATATGCAGCAAGGAGGGCGGAGCTGCGCCGAAAGGCGAAAGAAGCCGAGAGAACAAGGGAACGGCAGGCGGCGGCGGCGCAGGACGAGGCAGAAGAGAATGACGCGACAGAGGAGGAAGTGACAAGGGAGAGAACGACGAGAGTGGGACGGCCGCGAGGTGGCATGAAGGTTGCAGCGAGAATCGGCGACACCTCGCTTCATCTCGCCTCACCTCGCCTCATCTCGCCTCACACCTCGCCTCATCTCGCCTCACCCGCTCGCCTCATCTCGCCTCACCTCGCCTCATCTCGCCGAGGTACACCTCGCCTCATCTCGCCTCATCTCGCCTCACCTCGCCTCATCTCGCCTCATCTCGCCTCATCTCGCCTCATCTCGCCTCATCTCGCCACTCGCCTCATCTCGCCTCATCTCGCCTCACCTCGCCTCATCTCGCCTCATCTCGCCTCATCTCGCCTCACCTCGCCTCTTCTCGCCTCATCTCGCCTCATCGCCCCTCACCTCGCCTCACCTCGCCTCATCTCGCCTCATCTCGCCCCACATTTTTTTCTTTTCTAGACCACTCCGAGACCGACCCAAGACCGACCCGAGACCCGAGATCGACCCGAGATCGACCCGAGATCGACCCGAGATCGACCCGAGATCGACTCGAGATCGACCCGAGATCGACCCGAGATCGACCCGAGATCGGCACGAGCGATCAACCCAACAATGCCCCAGAGCCCCCTCCGGGGGGACCCCCCCTCACCCCGAGTGTCCGTGTCCTTCGCGAGTCACCGATGGGGAGCGGGGGGGGGTGCGAGATGCACAGGGGAGGCTGGGGAGGGGGGGGTCCACTCTGAAGACTGCCGACCGCGGGGGGGTTTTGTCCCACAGGGTTTTACCCTCCGCGTGAGGATCGGCGCGGCGAGGGGGTAGGTTCGAATTCGCCGCGCAACATTTCACCCCCACAGGACCCCGCCCACCCCCCCTCATGGTCCCACCTAGCACCCCAATGAGCTTTCGCACCCCCTCCTTGCGCAGTGTCCCCCACTATGTGTCGCCGTCTTCGGGGCACGCTATCCTGTGTAGTCAGGGCAAGTGGGGGCGGGGGGCACTCCCATCTCTCCTGTGTACGGGTGGTGACTGTCTCTAGTCTCGGAGGGGGGCTTGAAGCTAAGAATATTTTATTTTTAAGGTGTTGCTGCGCAAAAGGGTGGGGAGCCGCAGCGGCGCCGCAGGCGCGGGCGCGCAGTGGAAGCACGCTAGCCATACATATTCACGCAGAGAAGCTGACGGTCGGGGTCGTGACGGCTCGAGGGTGCGCACACTAGCGGCCGGACGCCTCACCCGCGGACGCCTCACCCGCACGCGCACCCTCCAACATCGCTCGTTATTGGAAGCACGATCGCTGGGATGAATTAAAAGAAAAACGCTGCCGCGGACTTTGGGGGGGGGCGCGGGTGGGGCGTGGGGGGTGGACTCTGCCACTGTGCGTGGCGGTACGGTGGGAGACTAGGTCCAGCCCTGGGTGGCGCAGATCTGACGTTTTGTGTCTGTAATAGATAAGATGAGAGTGAAATGGAAACTGCTGGATCAATCAAAGTCGGCGGGCGAGGGGGGGGGACGACGAAAAACGGCGGGCGCATTTGGGCACATGACTGGGAGAACTCTGTGGTGGACCCGCTGGGCGAAAGGAGCTCGCAGACCGTTGCGTTGGGCCTCACGATGTCATCGAGCGGAGCGAGCGCGAGCGCGGCGACCATGCAGCGGCACCAGGAGCAGCGGCGCGCTGACACGAGCGCGCTCGCCGATGCGGCGAGGGGGCAGAGGCAGATGCCCGAGCTGCCGCCGTACGTGCCAGAATTCGACCTCGCGTTCGT